CTACTAAAACAGACTACAGAAAGTAGTTTGTACCATAACTTATTCTATCCTCTCTACAGGAGGACCTAGTTTTCTCTCGGTCGGCCAAACGTACTGCAAGCGTTTGGCTGCCCTCGCTGTTGCCCTCGGTTCGCCACGGACGACGGCAGACCCCGTTATGATTTTAAGCTCTCATCGAGAAAAAGCCGTTTGTTTGCAGCTCTGCAACCGTGTGTGTGTGTGTGTGTGTCACAACATGTGAAGTGGTCGCATTCTAGCATTGAATCAATTCCACCGCACATGCCTGATGACCTTAACATGTCTAGGTCCCCCAGTAGCCCTTATTCTAACCTCTCTACTGGAGGACCTGGTTGCAATTCCCTTATACCTTCTGAGGCACTTGGACCCCTTTTCTTCCAACCTAAAGCCATCAGGTATCCAAACAAATCGACTCGCAACAATCTTTTTTACACCTCTAGCGCGACGAGCGCGAAGCCAAGCTCCTTGTGAGATAGCGTGAAGCAAATCTCACTCGTCAGCTGCTGCACATTCAGCTGTTGAGGGGCATGTCTGTGCATTTTCTTCCCTTGCCACGTTTGTGTGTGTTTTTTGTGGGTGTGCACAATTTGGCGCTTCCACACAGCGTTCGCCAGAAGGACAGACAGATGCTTAATTACACGGGTTGAGCTGAAAGGGGCCTTTGTTATTGCAGGCCCTCTCCTGAGCAGAACCGTTGAATAGTATTCCTCTGAGTTGCCTTTTGGTTTCTCATTAATGTTGACCCCGGATTAATAAACCCCTGTTTATTAATATGGGGGTGTTCCCCTCCAAAAGTGATAAATTCCAACCAGGGACACTCCCATATTAATAAACAAGGGTGTATTAATCCGGGGTCAACATTACAAGGCCATGCTAAAGGTGTTTGGGCACAAAGTCAGACCATCAAGGCGTAGGTTGCTTGCCTGTTCTCGAAATCCTCGCGCTGCCGGCCTTCAAAGGGCTTGATCTTGTTTGAGAATCCTGGGAATACACTGGGTGTTGACCCCATGTAGGGCGCATTTCCGGATAAAGCCGTGCTAAATTTAAAAACCATTCTGGGTCATTTCTCAGGGTGTAATACAAAAACCCTCAGAGAGAATCTCTTCCCTGGGTGGACTTGGCGATCCACTTGCCGGAATTTCAGCAGAGCCACAGAAATTGACTGGAAAGTTGAAACCTTGTGACACAGATTCAGCCCATACCCCCCAAAACCCCCGCCAAACCCTCCGCCAAACCCCCCTCCAAACCCCCAAAACCCCCCAAACCAGCCGAACCTCCCAAACCCTTCAAACCCTTCAAACCCCCACACCCTCTAAACCCTAAAAGCCCTAAAGCTCTGGAAGCCTAAAAGCCCCAAACCGCCAAACCCCTAAACCTTAGAAGCCCAAAAGCCTTGAAAACCGTTGCAACGGCTTTAAACTTAAAATCCTTGCAACCGTCGTCCCTTAATCCTGCCCAATACACCGCCCATTCCATTGGGTCTGCTTTTGCCTTCGTCCGAAGCATTTGATGTTGGCATAGAGAAGGGCCAAATGCGACGAGACCAATCTTCGTTTTGATTGGTCCCAGTGGTGAGTTGTAAAAGGGGTAGGGTCGTATGTGACACTGCGCGCTTTCCCAAGACGGTAGGGTCGCAGGTGACCGGCGGGTAGGGTCGCAAGCGACAGTTCTACCGATGTGCTGCGGAAGCAAGCTTAGGTGTTTCATAGGCTAGTTAACCCCTCCCCCGTATCCCCCCTTCCAAATGTCAAAATCTCAGCAAGACTCACCGAGTGTTGCTGAGCACTACTGAGCCCAGATGCGGGACCCCGGACCTCTGACGAACACGGCTTGCTCCAATTTCGCAAAGATTGGAGCACTGAGATAAAGCTTGCTGAGCCTGGACCGCCCATGTGCTGTGTTCTTGCGGGGTGATCAGTGATTGAGAGGTCTTGAGTGCTACTGAGTGCTTACTGAGCCGGGATTCCCAAAAATGTGCTGTTTTAGGTTGCGATTGAGTGTTACTGAGTGCTACTGAGTGCTACTGAGTGATTATACTGAGCCAAATTGCAAAAAGCAAACTGCTGTTTTGGGTTGTGATTAAGCGTTGCTGAGCGTTACTATTACTGAGTGTTTCTGAGTTCTTGCTGAGGGCTACTGAGTGCTACTGAGTGATTATATTGAGCCAAATAGAAAAATGCTGTTTTGGGTTGTGATTTAGCGTTACTGAGTGTTACTATTACTGAGTGTTTCTGAGTTCTTGCTGAGTGCTGCTGAATGCTGCTGAGTGCCTGCTGACGGCTACTGAGTGCTTCTGAGTGCTACTAGGTCTACATCCGCCGATGTTCAATTCACACGTGTTCAGCGTGCGGCGCAGTTGCAGCACAAATGACCGTTAAGAAAATTACAGTTAGGAATAATGTCGGTTCCAACTACTCGGCAAGACTCAGTAGCACTCATGATCCATTTTTTGTGGTGGCCATGTCTTAAACCTCCCAAACCCGCAAGCCAAATTGAATACCCCAAGACCCCAAACCTCCCAAACCCCGTACGCCAAATTGATACCCCAAGACCCCAAACCTCCCAAACCCCTTACGCCAAATTGATACCCCAAGACCCCAAACCTCCCAAACCCCTTACACCAAATTGATACCCCAAGACCCCAATCCTCCCAAACCCCTTACGCCAAATTGATACCACAAGACCCCAAACCTCCCAAACCCCTTACGCAATTGCCTCCCAAACCCCTTACACAAAATTGATACCCCAAAACCCCAAACCTCCCAAACCCCTTACGCCAAATTGATACCGCAAGACCCCAAACCTCCCAAACCCCTTACGCCAAATTGATACCCCAAGACCCCAAACCTCCCAAACCCCTTACGGCAAATTGATGCCCCAAGACCCCAAACCTCCCAAACCCCTTTCGCCAAATTCATACCCCAAGACCCCAAACCTCCCAAACCCTTACGCCAAATTGATACCCCAAGACCCCAAACCTCCCAAACCCCTTACGCCAAATTGATACCGCAAGACCCCAAACCTCCCAAACCCCTTACGCCAAGTTGATACACCAAGACCCCAAGACCCAACACCTGCCAAACCCCTTACGCCAAATTGATACCCCAAGACCCCAAACCTCCCAAAACCCCCTACTAGTTACTCCAAATTGATACCCCAAGACCCCAAACCTCCCAAACCCCTTTCGCCAAATTGATACCGCAAGACCCCAAACCTCCCAAACCAAACCCCTTAATTACGCCAAATTGATACCCCAAGACCCCAAGACCCCAAACCTCCCAAACCAAACCCCTTAATTACGCCAAATTGATACCCCAAGACCGCAAACCTTCCAAACCCCCTACTCCAAATTGACACACCAAGACCCCAAACCTCCCAAACCCCTTTCGCCAAATTGATACCCCAAGACGACAAACCTCCCAAACCAAACCCCTTAATTTCGCCAAATTGATACCCCAAAACCCCAATCCTCCCAAACCCCTTATGCCAAATCGATACTCCAAGACCCTTTTCAATAGGGCAATGCTTTTTCACCCCAGGTGAGCTCTTCGAACGTCGAGTTCTCGGCCCTCGTTTCACCCGCCAAAAAAGAGCAAGAATCCGTGCCGCACGGCTCACTGACAGATTTCGGCCACTCAGGGCCTTGTTGGCTTTAAAGGGAATGAATTTCATACCGGAAAGATATTTCCACTTTTCCGTGTGAAAAAGCAAATGGAAGGATCGCGGGAAACTCGAGAACAGATCGAGCCTTGATTGCTATTGGGTAACGGATCTTTAGACTTTGACATATTTTCACTTGTTTGTGAAAGTCAAGGTGGTTTCTCGAATTGGACCCACAAAAAGTTATTAGCACTTTTTGCAGAGGGGTCGTTGCAGCAAGTTTGGAGCCTGGTCTGTTTTCGAAAGCGCTGCGTTGTTTGCCTTGGTGGAATGCCTCTCAAAAATGAGCAAGGCTTTTGGAAAAAGTTGTTTGCCAGAGAAATTTGTCTTCTAGAGGGCTGCTTTAAGGTTCCATGCTTTGGTTTTGGAAGTGTGTGGGACTGTGTGGGCTATTGAAACCAGACCTGAGGCTTCTGTTGTTCAGAGGGAAGCAAGCAAAAATTAGGTCCCCCAGTCTTGCCCTTCTACCCTTTTTCGGGGGAGGGTTCCCCTACTAAAATAGACTTCCTGCAAAAAGAGTACCCTTATTCTAACCTCTACTGGAGGACCTAGATAAACAAAATGACATGGTCTCACCTAATATCATGGCCTCAACGCCAGAGGCATGGAACCCGAGGCAACGGTTGGCTCAGGAGAAGCGCTGCGTCGGGTCAAAGGTAAATTGGCGGAAGGTCTGGTCGATATCTTTCGATGCCAAGTACGGACTGTGGGCAAAAGCTCAGGGTTCCCTCTTCATGTTGAGAGGTTAATGACGAACAGCTTGACCTGCGGTTTTCAGGTCCTTTGGGCACAGGTTTCTTCCAACTCGCATGGTAGGTTCATCCGAAATGGCTCAACCTTTTGCGGGGCGGCCTTTACCATTCATGCTTTTGGGTATCTTCTGGGCACGTAGGTTCTGCATGATCAACATACATTTGCGTTGACAGGTGGTTACTGGCTTTTGGAAGGGAATTCAAGCATCCACAAACAAGCAGGTTTAAGGTAAACTCTGAGCGTGTCCCATGGACCAAGGCTTTCGATGGACGAAATCCCGCACCACCTTGCCTCCAACTGAAACCACTGTTTGCTGGTATGTACATGGGAATCGAATCATTCCAGGGTTTCTTAGGTGGTGCAGCCTTTCGTCCAACCACAGAATGAACCCTTAGCTGATGGTGGTCGACCAAGCCGTACCTACTTGGATAGTCCAGTCACTCACAGGCAACCATTTGACATCTCCCGGATGCTTGAACATTTGGCTCAAGAGCACCCTTGACCGAATTCGGAGTCCTGAGCCACTGAAGCTGTCAACGCATACCCAGATATCATAAGACTTTGTCCCAGATTGCACGGACCGTTTTGTCGTTTTTCCTGCGGCACAATGACGCAGCGCGGCGGCAGTGATCCGGTTCTAAGCGGAGTGTTGCGCAAGTTGCTCTTCCAAAGATTGGTGGCTCAACCAGCCATCCGGTTCCTCAGCCCTTTAGCTTTTTAGGGTTTAGTGCTTGGATTTCCATGCAACCCACTAAAAGTGTTAAGCTCTTAAGGGATCTGAGGGCTGCCCAGAAAACCAAAACCGCATCGCAGTTGTTGCAAGAGTTGGGCCACTTCGCTGGGGGGCTGATTCCTTAGCAGAACTTTGGTATTGGCTGGAACAGACTACTTGCTAAGCCCATCATCCCACGAGGTTGAGGTTTGTACTTGGAATTGGGTGTGCTGAATCACTTAAAGTGAACCCATTGCTTTTTGGAGGGTACTGTCCTCCCCAGTTGGAGTTTTATCATCCACTTTGAATGCGGGCACAAAGGGAATAGTGCCATTTCATCCCATCTACGCAAATTACGGCAACCCGCAGGGCGTGCTGGCCAGGGTTTCGGACCATGGAAGTCGCCTTTACTCCATATCAGTCTTTCCACCAGTCACTCTGAACCATTGCGAGTCGGTATTCTTCGGGGATTTGAAGCCTCGGTTCTTTGCAGAGGGTTCATCTTCAACCCCCGAAACTCCAACCGGGCGCTTGGGGTTTGATTGAAGGCTCTGGACACCGCAGGCAGATCAAGCTGAAATGGAACAAGGAGGAGTTCGATGTGACCATCGAGGAAGGCTCCACCGTGGAGGCGCGCGACATGGGCGACCGAACCCAAAGCAAGGAAGGGAGTCAACCTCAGCTGGACAATTCTCTCCTGGAAACACAAACTGTGGGGTTGTGGGTTCCCCCCTTCCGCACCAGGGTGCTCTGAAGCTGCGCATGAAGGTTCTAGGGCTGCTTCCCCATGCTGGAAAGCCATAATATCCACCTGGATCCCCAAGTAGCCACGTTTTTCCAGCCACTTTACCCATAATTTGGCAAAAGTAGCTGGAAAATAAGGGCAACTAGGGATCCAGGCAGGTGGAAATGGTTGAGGAATATCAACCTGCAAGGGGTTGTTTTGTGGGCGTTGAGCCTTGCTGTGGCAGCCCAGCTCGTCGTGAACTTGTCGGACTTAGTATGTGCGCATGTTGTTTGTCTCGCGCATGAAATCTGCATATGCTGGGTATGTGTCAAAGGGCCACTCCGAGAATTTTCCGGGAACGAACTCCTTCTCCAATGCCTCAGTCTTCCTTTTGCCAGGAGAAGTCTTCCGCAAACCCGCCCAAACCCTTCGGCCACCAGCGAATCGAGGCTTTGAAGCTCGGATCTGTTTTGGAGTGGAGCGGAGCGCAACTCCATCCCTCCCGTCCCATACTCGCCATACTTCCCCCCCCACCCCAACCTGGATCCCCAGTTCCCAACTTACCTTTCAGCTACTTGTGCCTCAAATGGGCTAGTGGGTAAAGTGGCTGGAGAAAAGTGGCTGCTTGGGGATCCAGGAAGGTGCCAAGGTGGGGGGCAAGCGCCACGTGTTCGCCAGGTCTTCAAAACGCAGGTCTGGACCCTGACGCAGGTGCCCATAGATCGACAGAGACCAAGCTGCAGCCGGGAATTCAGGTCACATCCTCGACGCGCCTATCATTTCGGGGCCTGGCGAAATTTCCGAAGCAACCTTTGCTTTCTTGGTACACGAGAGTACTTCACAAGTAAGGGACCCCCCGGCAACACTTGCACCTTGGTCAGTTGTTTCGACCCGTTGGGGCGGATGCGGCTCGTTTTTGATGATGGTTTTCGCTTGCAGCGTGGGAAGACAAAAGGTTTGCCGGTGTGTTCAGAGATGGGGAGGCTGCCTGGGCTTAAACGTGGAAGACGCATAGTAGAACTCAAAATAGCAGCCAGCACAAGAGCTTCTGAGGCGAGTAAAGGGAGGCTTCCGAAAGCATGGTGCGGGTTCCTGTGCCATAGAAACAGTTTGGGGAAGGCCAGGTTGTCCCCACCCCACCCACATGGCATTGCATCTTAGGACTTGAAAGTCAAGGCTGTTCTCAGATCTGCAACTCCTTTTTTTCTTCAGCGCCTTTTCGGGGTAGTTCGCCAGGCAGTCTAGAGGTCGCTCGGCTGACCAGCCGACCAGCCGACCAGAGCCGAGCACGGTGCAGTCAAACCCGTGTTTGTTTGGTGGGCTCCCCAAATGAGTGTGCCTTTTTGTTGACTGCTATTGGGTTGGATCTTTAGACTTTAACTTTTTTGGAATTAAAGATGTTTTCCACTAACCCCCCCCCCAACAGTTAAACTTTTTGCAGGGAGGTCAACAGCAACCAAGTTTTGGTTGCCCCTTGTTTCCGGTTTCAGGGGAAATCCAAAAGGAGGACGAGCCCCATTTCGGGGCTCGGATTAGACGCGCCGCGATGCGCCAAGTCGACCTCGTCGGATCGGCTCAGGAAGTACCTGGGCTTTCCCGGAGGCATGCTCAAGGACTCGGATGACCTCATGGCCAAGGATCGAAGCGCATTTGCCGAGAAGACTTGGCTGTTGCCCATGGGCAAAGCTCCAGGTTCTCCTTTGACCATTGAGGTCAAAATTTGGGGTTGAACATCAGACCACCGGTAAAAAACAGCTAGTTGATTCTATGTGGAAGGCCTCACTTTAAGCAGTTTGTAGCAGGCCTTAGGATGCCCCAGCTTTGGTGGTGTGTTGAATCGTTCACTCTCAGGAACATGATCCTCTCCCGACTCACCAGCAGCAGGTCATTCACTTTTTGCCGGGGGTCGCGTGATTCAATCGAACGGACACCTTATGAAGATGACTGTTGCCCAGCGGAAGGTCATTCATTTTTCCAGTAGGTGAAATGATGGAATGGCACCTGTTCGATCATGACGACTTCCCCCACGAGCGAGAAACAACATCGCTTGCAGGGGGTCAGCACCACCCAGGGTCGAGCTACCCCTTGTTTCAACGTGTTCAAAGCACAGAAGACCAGGGGCTGCCGGTTTGAACTGCAAGGTTTACTGTTTGCTCTTACAAATCAACATGAAAGAATCCAAAAAGGCTCTGCTGTCCAAATCTCCCACACATCATGGGTTTCTAGGCACAAAATGTGCGGCGTGATGGATTTTTCTTTCTCTGGTGGTCCATTCTTTACAGGTTTTAAGGGAGTTCGAACACATCGCCTTGTCAGGTCCTAGGCTTAAGTCCGGGGTATCCAGCCACGTCCGCCAGGTAGCGAAGATGAAACCCGGGGCAAAGGTCACCTTGATGGGCACGCCCGAGGCGCGGTGAGAATGGCCACGCCCTGAAAGTCGGCTGTGCTGGGGTGAAGCGGTAGCCGAGGGGAACTGGAGTCAAATTCCCCACAGGGGGGGTGGGGCAAAAGGTTGCAAATGCAACCAAGCCGTTTCTAAGTGGAAGGTGTTCGGTCTTTGAAGAATCCCAATAGACTCGAAGCTTCTGCACTCAAGGAACAAGCCTAGGGAATCAACTGGAGCCCTTGCGACCCGGGACGGTCGGCAACTTGAGGTTTGTGTGGTAGGGGACAAAATCGGAGCCATGTCCCTAGCCCGCAGAAAGGTGCAATGAAAGCCTTCGATCAGATTTGTTTAAGAAACTTCCTTCAATCCTCAACCAGGCCCCAGAGTTGTCTCCCGACTTTTTGGGGAACTCTGAAGTGCTTGGACGGTGATGTGCACCAACAGGTTTTCAGTTAAGCTTCATATTTCAGGTGTATCGTTTCAGTGTTTTTTTTGTGCAAATCAAGAGGGAGCAGCACCAATTTTCAGGGTAGCTTGGGATTTGAGCCACCGGTTGTTGTGGGTCAATGGGAAACCCCTCCTTAACCACCACCAAACCCACCGATTCGGCTCCGGCTCCAAACCAGCACTTGGAGGGAAGCTGAAATTTGGGGGTTGGTTGCTTATTTGGCACACCCTCATAGGGACCAGCACTGATGTATTACTTGGCATCCTTCTCAATATGCAAGGGGCGTCCCTTTGAAAAGCATGCCTTTTTTTAGCTTTTGGTCGATGGATTGGTGAGATTTGACCACCCGGGTTGCAAAATCCGGCTGTTGGGTTGGACCTTCCGCCAAAGGGAACATGCGCATGTTGTCCCAACCAAGAGGGGCAGCCCCCATCCCGGAAGAGGCGAACGCCAAACCTCACTAGCCACCGAGGTGTCGGGTCCTAGCACAAGGGGTCCTTGCGCTTCGGCCATGGCTCGGAAAATTGGTACCCCACCACAAGGGCAACTAGGTTCCCCAGCTAGGTGCCCTTCTTAACCCCTCTTTTGGTTGGGAGGGTTTCCCTACTAAAATGGATGTCCTGAAAAAGACGGTACCCTTATTCTATCCTCTCTACTGGAGGACCTAGGGTAGCAAGTTGTTTGTAGTTTTTCCTCTTTTTCCGTACTGGACCGCTCTTCCTACTTACGCTTGCGATCGGGTCGAATGGGAGCACTCCTCTTGCGATCATCTTGGTTTCACTTTAGAGGTGGCATGTGTAAACCGCCACGGTAGCGGATGTCAGAATGGCACCGGTGTTAAACCAGCTTTACCCAGCCCTTTGCGGGTATGTCCATCAATCCAACCCGAAAGGATATCCTCAAACACACACCCATGTGGGGGTTGATCTATATTCCTGTCCCCCCGTGATGGGTAACTTGTCCCACGTGGGGAAAATACAAGATGTTGCTCCCCGAGAGAAAGCGATTCGGAAAGTCTCTGCCCCGCTCGGCTCGTTCGAAGTTCGGGGTAGCTGCTTTCGGGGTACCGGGCCAGGGATACCGCGGATTTCTGGCTTTCCGTTCTTGTGGTTTGGTTCTCCGTTTCAGCACCAAACCACCGGGCTCCGGCTCCGGCTAGGAAGCTGAAGCCCATGGTATCCTAGGTCCCCCAGCTAGGTCCCTTTCTCACCAACTTTTTTGGGGGAGGGTTCCCCTATTAAAATAGACATCCTGAAGAAAGACGGTACCCTTGTTCTAACCTCGCTACTGGCAAAATCAACAGTTATTCCCAGGACCCCCCAATGACTGGCAAATAACCCCAAACCAGCTTTGCAACCCAACCACATGCAACCTCCAACCGAAATGGTAACGGTGTCCTTTGGCTTCCCTTCAAACACACCCAAACTGGGGAATCCGTCGGCGCTTTTTGGACCCAGGGCAAGGAGCTGAAGAGCCCCGAGGAGAAGACCGTCTTCGAGGAGGATTTGTCCCCCGAGGAGAAGGCGAAGATCCTCAAGGAGAAGACGCACGGCGTTCGAATTTATGCTCTAGGTTGGGTTAGGGAGCCGGACTTGGAGCTGGCATATATAGATACATGGTTAAGAAGTGTACATATATAATCATATTATATATATATATATATATGTATATGCTTGGTGGTGGTTGGGTTAGGGAGCCGGAAAATGAGTCGAGAAAATAGGTCGACTTATGTTCTTGCTGGTGCGATAGGGAATGACTTCAAGCCCGGGTGTTTGGGGTAAAGGCCAAGAAATCCGAGGGATGTGTTCTGGGGTTATTCCATGTCTCATTCCCTGCCCATCGAACCATTGCAAGTTTTGCCTTAGGGGTCTCTAAATCGGGTCCATAGAAACAACACATGAAGCAGGAGGTTGTTTCAGTTTCTAGGTGCCCCAGTAGTGCCGTTTCACCCTTTTTTCGGGGGTGGGTTCCCCTACTAAAAGAGGCTACAGAAAAAAGGGTACCCTTATTCTAACCTCTCTACTGGAGGACCTAGATGTGGTCCACGGAAGCGTGATGTGCTTGACTCATCATCAGCCCGAGCTGAGGAAGGTGGAGATACCGCCTGCTGGCATCAAGAACTTGGGCAACACATGCTACATGAATGCAGCTTGGCTCTTTGGATCTCGGCATCGACCAAGAACGTTGGAATCTCCCTGATTTATTCCAAAGCTCTTGCCTGAGCATGAAATGGGCTGTGATCTTGCGAGTCGGGCGTGCATCAAGCAGGTCTCCTACTTGAAAGATATTTTCATCGCACCGTTGTCCCTTTTCGATTTGGTTGCGTACGAATGAACTAACAAGAGTCACTGAGCAGTCACCGTGTTTGGGTCCGAATTCCCCCAAAGACCTTGCCAGGGTTGTATTTTGGGGAAATGGAGGAAGGGGGGTTATTGAGGGAGGAGGTGTTGGGGTATGATCAAACGCAGTTTAGAAGGAACTTCAGTGGTGCTGGAACTGCTTGAGCTAACCCTTTCTAAGAATGCATGCGGCTGCGTGCGATCTTTTAAGACGCAACGCACTGAGCGTGAAAAAGCTTCGAAAAAGCCGGAACTGGGAAAGAGAAGCCCGAAAACGTGGCCCTGTGCGTGAATTCGGCTCATCTCGCAACACCACGCAGGCGCGCCTGCGCCCTTTGGGTGAGTCGACCCTCAAAAACTCGCGGCGTTCTACGCTTTTTACTTTCGTGGGCTGGGCTGGAGAGGGAGAGAGAGGAGCGAGAGGTAGAAGCTGCTTTGCCGGCGTCACTTGTATGGGCGTGCCCAGAAACAGGGGGCTGTTCTTTAACCAAGCTATGAGCCCCTCCATTAATCAAGACACCCCATGTCCAAGGCTACACTTCAGTGCTTGCACAACGTGCCGGACCTGAAAAATGCTCTAGACACGTACCAGCCTCCTACTGCTGAGGCGAGCGCGGGTTGCAGGTGTCAGGAACACTGTTAAACTCCTGCAGATGGAGCCCACAAATGTGTTGTTTCTAGCGGAATATCCTTTCGGAGGGGTCCACGTTAGTTTGGGTAGGTTCTGACTGGAGAATTATTTTCTCATGAACCAAGGTGCTTCCCCCTTTGAGGTCCACTGAAAGGGTGGTGAACTTTTGTTGCCTTGGCCTCTGCCCGGACATGTCCAGTAGTCTATGGGCATCAAATGGGCACCCCCTCGACTTAATATAAACCACAGAGGTCAGGGTGCGGAACTAGTTTTCGGATGTCTACAGGTTGTGTCTGCATGTTTTCACACCCATGTTTCACCCATTGTTTAGGCCTCTTGCCAACAGGCTTTGATGTTTGACAGCCTCGATACAGCCAAGGGTGGCCAAGAAGGTCTTTGATCTATGTTAGCCGCTGCCAACATGACTGGTAGTCTTCTGTTGATTTTGGCGAGGGGATAGGGGGACGACCCAAAATTCCCATCTCCTTTTTGGAAAGGGAAAGCCCTTTTAGTCAACTTCGCTTCTGGGCCCGCACCCAAGACCCACCTTCAATGATGTCAATCCAAATGAAGGATATGTTTCAAGTTGGCCGTTGGACTTGGAATGTAAGTCATTTGCACAGTCCGCTTTCTGAATTCGAGTACTTGGCGCAGGAAAGAGCTTGATTTCCTTCTGGGATTCGGAGCCACACTCTGCAGGAGGGTACCTCTGGTTTGATTCAGTGCAGCTCCCATCCCGAAAGGAAGCCAAAAATGGCCAGGACCACCCCACCTTTAGGTGCAGTGGTCGATAGGGTACTCAAATTCCATGTCTCTCGCCTTCCCCGCAAAAAGGACAAGATAAACTAGAAATGTTTTTTGAGGGGATGTTACCGGGGGGGGGGAATGCGGTCAGCACCCCGGACGGGAACGAAATGGTTTGTGAAGTGACTTTCTGTGGGAGATGTGGGGTGACGTTTGCGCCAGGGTTATGCTTTGCAACTTTTCTAGGCGAGTTTCATCGCCTATTTTCAACTTTGCCAGGCCCGCGACATTGATGCAGTGCGCACCTCAGTACTCGTGGCGTCGGCAAATCATCGGCTGGAACTTGACCCGAAGCCAGAAAAGCAGAAAAGATCGAGTTCTTCAAGTTTTCATGGAACACACGAAGCGCGACCACCAAAAAGATTCCATTCCTCTAGAAATGACAATTTTCTTCAAACCAGTTCAATCTGAAGGGGAGTATGTATTTAAAAGTCTGCATTTTGAGGTGTCCCGTTGAAAGCATCGAAGGGCTGCCCTCAAAATACCACGAGCCTTGGGCAGACGGTATGAGAACGATCCGTAATGCAAACGGCCCACTCCATCTAGCGGCCGCTTTGAACTGACTGATCCTAGTTTCTAGGTCCCCCAGCAATTGACCCCTTTTTTGGTTGGGAGATTCGGATCCCCTACTCAAATAGAAAAGAGTTGGCACCCTTATTCTAAGCTCTCTACTGGAGGACCTAGGTTAGCAATCATTCCATGAATGCGACAGATCACGAGCATTGCCAGACTCGCGAGCCCCCCATTTGCCGAACCGGAAATGTCCACGTACAATTTTCCGGGTGCCTCCCTATGTTCTCTTTTTTGAACTTCCAGGTACTTCCTGGGGACTCGATCAGGGATTCACCCACTCCCGGAGGTCGGAAGTTTGTGTCCCTGCGTAAAATTGAGGTCAAGAAAGGTCCTGAAATGCAACACGTCTTCTTGCTTCTCCTATGATCGTGCCTTTGAATGTTTTCAAGAACCCCAGAGCCCTATTCCGAGTAGTTGCATCTCTGCGCATTGGCATGGATACCCCTCTTTTAGATATCCCTCTTTTTGGCGCTCAAGCCTTCTGTAAGTTTGCTGGGGAGAAGGCCCTTCTTCACCCTTCCAGTTCCTTTTTTAAAATGAGTACAGTATGTGTCAAAAGAGGGACCCTAAAAACGGTGGCTTTCTTTCTAGCGTCCCTTTAAACCAACCTGCTCTTGCAAAGGCTGCCGTCAAAGAAACACAGCAGACATGGTTGTGTGTGTGTGTTTGCGTGTTTGTGTTTGCCTTGGTTTTCGTTTGTGTTCGTGTGTGTGTGTGTGTGGGTTTATGTTTGTGTTTGTGTTTGTGTTGTATGTGTTGGTGTGTTTGTTTGTGTGTGTGTGTGGGTGGGCTTGTTTTGTAATTGTCTTGTGAGTCTGTGTGTTTGTGTGTGTGTGTGTGTGTGTTTGTTTGCGTGTTTGTTTGTTTATTTGTGTGCGCTTGTGGGCTTGTGTTGTGTGTAGTTTTGCAAAGTACCATGTTGTTGGGAGTTGGTTCAAAAGGAAGCCACCCATTTCCTGGAAAGCCACAGCTTTTGGTTTTTCTTTCACCAGCTGCTCACCTTGGTTCAAAGCCAAAAACGAAAGGACCACTGACCACTCCACCTCGTTCCCCCAGTAGTGCCCTTCTTAACCCCTTTTTTGGTTGGGAGGGTTCCCCTACTAAAATAGACTACAGAAAAAACTCGGGTACCCCCCCTCCAACTAACATGGCACCATATGGCACCTGTGGGGAGGTACTTGGAAGATTCATTTCCTGAAGGGAGCCACTGTCAGTTGCCGGGGGGTACAACTTATTCTAACCCTGAAAAAAGACGGTACCCGGTACCCTTGTTCTAACCTCGCAAATCTGGAGGACATAGCCACAGATTTCCCCAGGAAAGAACTCCACCGCGCTTCGCCTCGTCTTTTGAGGTGCTCACCTCCCAGCTGCGCACGGTGAACACGCAGCTCACGTCCACCACGGAGTCCATCGTGCCCATGCAATTCGTGATGGCCCTGCGCCAGCGCTTCCCCAGGCCGATTTTGCTGTGTTGTTGTTGTTGTTTAGTTTTTTTTTGGGGGGGGGGTTGGTGGCGGTTGTTTTGTTTTGTAGTTGTTGTTTTGTTTTGTTTTTTTTGGGGGGGTTCTTTGGGGGTGTCATTCTTGGTTTTTTCGGGGGTATCTCAAATGCGCAACCCAGTCCTCAATTGTGGGCTCATGTTCAATGCCTCGAAACCCTTCTGAAACTCGACTACGAAAACACGAGAACCTGAAAATGGCAAGGGAACAGGCATGCAAGAAACAGGCGACATGGGACTATGCTCACAGTACCCAGACATTGCATACGAGGAATAGACTGCGTGCTAGCCGCGCTAGGGCGGCAGGCAGAAGGTGATGCCATGCGTGGCGGCTTGCTGCAGGTTTGATGGCCTGTCTGTGTTGCCTGCTCTGACACTCGCCGCGGTTGCCTTGGAGGTGCCTTTTACCTTCTCTCCGCGTGCCTGTTCTACTTGAAAGACATGTGGCTGTGGGTCAAAACCCTCTACCCCTGGTGAACCTCAAAATAGGCGGTGCATGGGTGATCCGACCCAAAATGGAGCCATAGGTTATGACCCATGGCCATGTACGTCAACAGATTTCTGCTGCATTTGCGCTGTGACCGACGTGCTTGTTGAACATGAGCTCAGTTGAACATGAGATCAATCTCGCCTCTTTGTCCACCCGTTTGAGTGATACGCTTACATCATGTGATGAGTTTCCACCTGTCCATATTATGTAGCAAGGCCCATCGATATGACAGAGTAACGCGCTGGCTTACCATGGCGTTCGGCATGACTTTGCGCTTTTTGTGCCTCGCGACTATGGAAAGACACAGTCGGCTGCGTGCTTCAAGCTCCCAGAAAGCTGCATCTTGTCAAACCAAAATGTAGAGCGAAGCTGCTAGATAGACATAAACGAAAAAGGCAGCGCAAGCAGGCGAATCAAGATCAGCTATGGATGTTGACTGCTGCTCTGCATTCGGTGTTTGGGAGAATGAACATGTTCTTACCAGTCAGCACAAGGCGATCTTGGGCCAACATCGGCAACCGGGTGCCAAAAGACTGTTCTTGTCAGCACTGTACTCGGTAGCAAGTCCGTATTGGCCGGTCTGGGCGCCCTTTGTCATGCCTTGCTTTTGTTCGGGCTAGGTCCCCCAGTAGTGCCCTTTCTCACCCCTTTTTTGGTTGGGAGGGTTGCCCTACTAAAGTAGACTGCAGACAAAAGGTTACCTTTATTCTAGCCTCTCTACTGGCGTGTTTTGCCAAGGCAGCCAGGCTTTTTGAGTTTTTCCCTTTCACCGTTCAGACTGTCAGGTTTGCAGAGATGCAGAACGGCGGGTACATGCAGCAGGAGCTTATCGGGTTCAAAGATGTGCGAGGTTTGCTTATTTCCCTTTTGGTGTCAAAGAGAAGTCATGACTGGTAGACAAGTTATTTGATGGCAGAAGCACGGTAAAGATTGAAGATCGGAATTCCCGGCAGTCGGCGCTCGGCGGTCAATGTACATGATCATGTAGTAAAGGGGATGGGGTTGCCAAATTGTCCGAAGATGCTGTCGGGTGAAGGCGCAACCCAAGCTGAAATCAGTTGGGGGGGGTCCAGTCGTGAATGTTGCCCTGGTCAAGCGACCCGTGTCATCAACCAATGTGGGCTTGAAACCACCAGTTGCAAGGGTCTCAGGGGAATCATGGCCATGACCCACGTCAGGAGTTTTGACCACACTTGCCCGTGTAGTGCGTTAGGTGCTGTATTCTACCGGTATTGCTTCAGCCTTAAGATTCGGTCGCTGGCGGCATGTTGCTCGAGCATCATGGAGCTTGCGCTTTTGACACAAGTCCCACGCCGCTGGGAAATTGTGGTGCGCGCCACCCTTGTTGAATGGCCACATAGTGAAATATGCAAACCGCAAACTCCTGAAAACACATGCAATGCAAAGCATCCACGAACAAGCAAACCGGCTCGCCTGGACAAACAAACACACAAATTAAAGGACCGGATAACCCCACATGTCCATGCTTATGAAGATGCGCCACACTTACATCGATTGAGGATCGCAGGCTGTAAAAGCAACCTGACATGCGGCCAGATGCTTTTTTTTTGCATGCGCCAAGCTCTTCTGGTAAAAGCACCTCCCCAATAGTGGGTCGCGCGCAAGCAGCCTGTCTTCGAAAGTCACGCTTGCAGCTGCGTATAAGCATCGCTCGAAAGTGTCCAGACACAAAGCTTGAGGTGTCTATGTGACTCCCACCAAGGGCGCACTTTGGCCGACATTCTGTACTCACAGGAGCGACAGTAAACAGTGACTCGCCACCCATTTGGGAGTTCGGACCACTCCAAGGAGCCAGGGGAACCACTCCCAGGAGCCAGGTCGGGTTGAGCCCGTTGGCCGCGCTTCAGCCAAGCGCGCGCGGTCAGCTCGCCCTCAATCTGTTCTTTCAACCACGTCAGCTGGCTTTCGTTCCAGCCGATGAGCATCTCCCGCAACCGGCTGCCAGTCCAACTGGGCGACATAGTCATTGAGGAGCTCATCAACGCATTTCGTTTTCCAGCTAACGCAAGATGGCTACGGCAGCGTACTTTTGCTTCGTGCATGTGTACGCGCTTGGCTAGCTAAATGTCGATGGCTCAGTGCATAGCTGGCTTTTTGTGGGTCAGGCAGACGATGGCGTGCGCTGCAGCCTTCCCAAAAGGATGCGAACATCAACGCTATCTCACGGCTACTCCGATACCACTATACTTCCCTTCCTGGGTCGCGTAGTTGGTTTGGGAGTAGGCTGCATGCGACGAAACAAAAAAAAGTAAGACAGCCAAAAAGATGCGAACATCAACACTATCTCGCGGCCACTCCGATACCACTACCTTCCCTTCCTGGGTCGCGTAGTTGGTTTAAGAGTAGGCCGTATGCGATGAAACAAAAAAGAAGAGAAACAGAAAGCTACGGGCTGCGCCAAGCGCTGGACTTCTTCGCCGCGGATGGCATGTTGTCTCTCACTGCGCGGACGTGCTTGCCCGGCGTCCATTCAGCCTGGAAGATATCTGCCTCTGCCCGCAAACATCGCACTGGACCTCGCACGCGGCGGCCGTCCTTCCGCACAGATGCTCGCCATGCGCTACGATGACTCTCAACCGGCATCTTCGGCTAAGGAAAACTTACGTCCTGTTCCTTTTGCTGATTTCAAATTTCCAAACAAAACTTGATACATGCTGCAAGCCCTGAACGCCTGTCGGGCTGAATGCAGAATTTGAAACATGAGCGAATCTCTCAATCAAATGGCTGCGGCAGGCGCGAAATATGATTGATGCCATATCCAATCTCAAGGATGAAATGAAAATTACCTGACGCGCATTAAAAAAACAAAGGCATGCACCTGAACGCAAGCCCAGGTGCACGAAGTACTGCGCCTGCCACGACTTCAGCACTTGCATCTCCAAAGTGCTGCGCCTGCCACGCGAGATGGGGGCCCACAGCCGCGCGCGCGACAACACCCCAGCCCTTTAAACAGCTCCCAAACGCTGTCCCTGCCACGCCAACGCAAGCCCAGGTGCGCGAAGTACTGCGCCTGCCACGATTTCAGCACTTGCATCTCCAAAGTGCTGCGCCTGCCACGTGAAATGGGGGCCCACAGCCGCGCGCGCAACACCCCAGCCCTTTAGACAGCTCCCAAACGCTGCCCCTGCCACGCAAACGCAAGCCCAGCTGCACGAAGTGCTGCGCCTGCCACGATTTCACGCTTGCATATCCAAAGTGCTGCGAGTGCCACGCAAGATGGGGGCCCACAGCCGCGCGCGCGACAACACCCCTGCCCTTTAGACAGCTCCCAAATGCTGCCCCTGCCGCGCAAACGCAAGCCCAGGTACACGAAGTACTGCGCCTGCCACGACTTCAGCACTTGCACCTCCAAAGCGCTGTGCCTGCCACGCGAGATGGGGGCCCACAGCCGCGCGCGCCACAACATCCCAGCCCTTTAGACAGCTCGCAAACGCTGCCCCTGCCACGCAAACGCAAGCCCAGGTGCACGAAGCACTGCGCCTGCCACGATTTCAGCACTTGCCTCTCCAAAGTTCTGCGAGTGCCACGCAAGATGGGGGCCCACAGCCGCGCGCGCGACAACACCCCAGCTCTTTAGACAGCTCCCAAACGCTGCCCCTGCCACGCAAACGCAAGCCCAGGTGCGCGAAGTACTGCGCCTGCCGCGATGTCAGCACTTGCCTCTCCAAAGTGCTGCGAGTGCCACGCATGATGGGGGCCCACAGCCGCGCGCGCGACAACACCCCAGTCCTTTAGACAGCTCCCAAATGCTGCCCTTGCCACGCAAACGCAAGCCCAGGTACACGAAGTATTGCGCCTGCCACGACTTCAGCACTTGCATCTCCAAAGTGCTGCGCCTGCCACGCGAGATGGGGCCCACAGCCGCGCGCGCCACAACATCCCAGCCCTTTAGACAGCTCCCAAACGCTGCCCCTGCCACGCAAACGCAAGCCCAGGTGCACGAAGTATTGCGCCTGCCACGATTTCAGCACTTGCCTCTCCAAAGTGCTGCGCCTGCCACACAAGATGGATGCCCACAGCCGCGCGCGCGACAACATCCCAGCCCTTTAAACAGCTTCCAAATGCTGCCTCTGCCACGCAAACGCAAGCCGTGTGTGAGTGAGTGTGTGTGAGTGAGTGACTTTGTGCGGGTGAGTGAGTGAGTGAGTGAGTGAGTGAGTGTGAGTGAGTGTGAGTGAGTGTGTGTGTGAGTGAGTAGTGTGTGTGAGTGAGTGTGTGTGAGTGAGTGTGTGGCGCGGCGGCGGGAGTCGGGCGCGCAGCGGTAAAAATAAGAACCCCACACAAAGATGTGGGGAACAAGCAAACATAACAAACAAACAAACACACAAACAAGCAAGCAAGCAAACAAGCTAACAAACAGGCAAACAAGCAAGCAAACAAGCAAACAAACAAATAAAACACACAACCGCAGAATCAATGAAAGAATGAATGAATACATGAATGAATGAATGAATGAATGAATGAATGAATGAATGAATGAATAAATAAATAAATCAATCAAACAAACAAATCACATCAAATCAAATCAAATCAAATCAAATCAAATCAAATCAAATCAAATCAAATCAAATCAATCAGTCAATCAATCAATCAACGAATCAATGAATCGATCAATCCGTCCATGCATGCATGCATTCATCCATCCATTTATCCATCGATCAATCAATCGATAACAATAAAATATGCAAACACACAAACCAGCAAACAAGCAAACAAGCAAGCAAGGAAACAAGCAAACAAGGAAACAAACAAACAAACTAGCAAGCAAGGAAACAAGGAAACGATCAAATGAATAATCCAACAAGCCAACCCGTATTGAGACTAAGATATGTTGTCGGATCAGAAGGTTGCCACAGACTGTCTGAGCATCGCTGCTGTCAGGACGCAGACGAGTGCTTGAGAGGGCTGCTGACTACTTTGTCCACCACGCTGAAAGGATCGAGCGAAGCTTCCAACAGGCGAGTCGCGGTGTCAACAGGGCCGTTTGCTTAAGGCTCGGGGGCCAGGTTTGGCAAACCAAAAGGACACCAACATCCTTTTCAAGGTCCCCCTATTTTGACACACGCCCATGCTGAGCAACGAACAATATCATTGGTAGTCTACTGTTGGTTTGCGGGGGACATCGAGGGACAAGCAACCCAATTTTCTCATGTCCTCTTGGGGAAGCAAGTAGTGTTTATGCGAGGTCCGGTCAACAAATCATGGAGTCGAGTCTGTAATCCAGTGGGATGGGACGCATGCCCCCAAAACCAGACAAAAACCAGGGCCATTCCAGGGCTTTATGAACCCCGAGTTCCCATTACCTCGGATTTGGGGCTGTTCACTCTTTCCAAAATTAATGGTTTGGATAGGCAGGCTTTGGAAGACTGCGTTCATTTTCAAAGAGCCTGTCCAATCACATGATGCTCCGACAGAGGGCAAAAGTGCTTCCTTTTGCAGGAAGATCACTGGATGGTCGCCCGCTGTGGTTTGACCGAGAAGCGAGTTCAATGGAACAAAATGGCGCGGTTGTGCTTACTAGAAATGGCGTGGTTCTTCTCAATAGGGATCATGGTAAGAAGACGTGTTTTGAAGCGAAACCTGATTCGGAGTTAGTAGCTTGTTATACGTCATACAGTTAGATGAAATTGGAGGTCCTGAGGTGTGGTGCGTTCCGGGGGAAGGATTCTGCGACAAATGCACAAACGTTTTGGAGCGGGTGAGCATTTGTGCCGGGGTCAGTACAAGTAAATTGGATCATGGAACCTTGCAGACAATTGTGCGGCAGCACCATGCTAATAAGGCATCATCAACTTTAAGGTAGGGGGGGGATGGCATGTGACAGTCTTGTCCCCGACATTGAGAACCATCGTTTCCCTTTGCTTTGCCATGGCCCCAACTCCTGACCCTCGCAGCAAACCTGGAACAGGCCACGTGTCTCAGGAAACTTGCTTACCAACTTACCAGCTAGTTCGTCTTCAAAGAGGGCCTGTGCACTTGCGATGGTAGGTCTTTTTCGGTCCCCACGCCTTCAGAAGTCTCTTGCTCCTCGCGCATCGCGAGCGAGAACCCTTGTTGTAGCACTGTAAGGGAAAGTCCCGGCCAGAATTAGTTGCGGCCGCCTTTGTTCTTTACATCCGGTTTGGGTACACCATCTTCAATACCCATCGGTTTGGATTGTGACTCGAAGGATAGCAATGGGTTCCCTCGTTTCCGGGTTCGCGGGGGTCAACTCCCCAGAAGCCGGCGCAGGTGAGAACACCAGCTCAAGTCCCCCAGCTAGGTCCAGTGCCCGACCTCTCATCCAACTTTTTTGGTTGGGCGATTCGGTTCCCCTACTAAAATAGACGTCCTGAAAAAAGACGGTACCCTTATTCTAACCCTCTAGAGGACCTAGTACTTCTCTTTGGAGTTTTTTATTTGTTGGGTTGTAAGGACTGCTAGTATGGACCACCATAGCATTGCAGGCGTTTGTGCCCACAAAGGAGTGCACTAAAGTTGCTTGTCCGCGAAAGATTTAGCCAAGGCTGTCTACAGACATGCTCTGTGCGCTTGCATATTCTTCGAGAAGATGGCGTTTGTTGGAAGCAAGGATACTGATCAACTGGCATGTTTGAAATTGTGGGTGGCCCAAGAAGCGTTGCCAGGAGGGGGCACGACTGAATTGAAGGCATCTCCTTTCCAGGCATAGTGAACCACCCGACCCGTTGACTCTTTATGGCAGAAAACGTCCCCAGCTTTATTGCGGTTAAAGCAATGAATTGTTTTGACGCGAACACAACTGGCAAAGCCGGAAGGGTGGACGAGCTCTTTGGGTACACGCTGAAGTCCACCTTGAAGTGCCTGGAATGCGACGAAGAGCCGCCGCAGGCGCGCAAAGGAAGTTGGCCAATCCTGGTCGATTTTACTTGGGAAGTTAGAGACAGAGCCTTTCAACGGCGCTTGATCCCTGTCAGGTTCCATGCGGCTATGGTATTTGAGTGACCCATCGGTGAACATCACTTCCATGTAAATGCATATTCTTCAAATGCCTTTCAAGGGGGTTCGCGTGAACATCCACGCCACGTGGGAGCCCGTTGCCAGATAGGACAAATATAGTTGTCTCATGTGACTCATGACGGGACATCAATCTGTAGCATCTTTCGGCGGCATTTTGACATATGCCCCTACGCGCGAGTCGAGCATGGCCCCATGATTCTGGCTGGGAGTTTTCCAAGTCAGCTGAGGTTTACTCAGCATATCCAGCAGTGCAGCAGTTTCACGAAAGTCTGAAAACGCCAAGAAATATCAGGTGTCCCTCTTTTGGGAGACCAGTCCAGCGACCATGCCGTCTATTGTCAATTTGGGGTTCGGGTCTTGGGACACACCACCAGTGGGACGAACCCGAATCGTCCCACGTCCATTGGGGCAACCGCACTATTTTGAAAGTGGCTGACATTGGTTCGTCACAGCGCCTAGGTCCCCCAGTAGTGCCCTTGTACCCTTTTTGGGGGGAGGGGTCCCCTGCGAAAATAGACTACAGAAAAAAATGGTACTCTTTTTCTAACCTCTCTGCTGGAGGACCTAGGCGTAGCGCTTGCCAAATCAGGATGTTAGCATGAAACATGTTTCCTCTGCCTATCGGCTGGGTGTATCATGTTTTTGAAGGCGGCCTTTCTGAAATGTTTCAACAGCGAAGCCAACCCGGACACTGCCATGTTTCTAGGGGTACCTTCCCCATTCTTTCTAGGGATCCTTCTTTCTAGAAAACCTCCAGAATCCCAGGGAAAACGGAACCGGTTTTTGAAAAGAACGATGCTTGAAAAGAATGGAAAAGGAATCAAGCCCTAGAATGTCTGTCCGTGTGCTCCTTGTTTTGTTGCCTTGCTTGCGCTTGCTTGTTTAGTGGTGTTTGCTTGGCTCCGCAAGGCCACAAGGGATTTTTGAGAAAGAACCGCCCCTATTCTTCCATTTGAAAGGGTCCGGTTATTTGCACAACCCCAATTGTTTCTCTTGTGTCTTTTCGAGGGCACCATTGGAGTTTTTTGTTTTGAGGGTAAACTCACTTAGCAAGCTCCTGGTAACCCGATTTGTTTGGGAAGCAAGCCTATTTTGGTGGAAAGAGTTCAGTTGTTTTGTGGTCCAGTCAGGAAGTGAGCGCAGGGTTTTTCCAACCATGGTGGACCTATACCGCTTTTTTCTCGGACAAAAACACAAGCTCTTGAATACGTTGGACATTCGAATTTCCTGGATGTTTGGAGCTAGGGACTCTCCAAGTCTTTGCGCCAGACATCTCAAGAATTACCTTGGAGGTGTTTTTACTTGGGATGTTTGTTCGGATGTCCTTTGTGCTACCCCCAGGACTAACGTGGAAGCTCCAAAAGGGACCCCTTTGGAAGACTTGGTCCCATTTACAGAGGCCTTCTGCGAGCTTCCATGTTAGTCTGAGGGAGTGTAGTCGTTGGTTGCCGCATGTGTCGAGGCGTTTTTGGGGAGTTGGGAGGGCTTGGTTTGAAGGGAAGCCGAATCGGAGGAGAGCGAGGAGCTGAGCCGAGTGATGCTGTGCCACCTGGGCACGCAGACGGAGCCGGTGTCCCACATCACCCAAGGGGCCGGAGAAGGGGCTGGGGGTTGGGGCGGGGTGGGGAGGTGAGGGGGTGAGGGCGTGAGGGCGTGAGGGGGGTGGTGAAATACAAACATGTGCTGGTCGCTCCGAACCCTGAATTGGTCTTGAAGTCCGTTTGGCAATCATTCGCACGGGTTGATCCGACCACAGGGCAGAAAGTTGGTTGTGGATCCCCCGAAAGCGTTCGGGCTGCTGGCCATTTTCGGGCCGTAGATTTCCCCCTGTGCAGGACCGG